TTTTTTTCACCATTAAAAGCTGTATTAACAGGGCTCCCACATGTAATCTTCTTTTTAAATTCCACGCCAAAAATGCTCGCTACTAATACATTTTCGTATTAATTTCTTATTTTCAGTCGCATACTATTTGGTTAATGACCAAAAAATAATAAAATTGTTTTATTTATTTTATTTTAAATAGATTACACTTTCGCACTATAAAGGATATTTTTAGAATAAAACTACAAATTTAGTAATAAATAAATATTTTATTGCATAAGTTAAAAAATTAGACAATATGTAAAAAGTTAATATATTACACACAATGTTTAATTACTTTAAATAACACTGTTAAGGCATTTTCCAGATAGACACTTTTTTTATCTAATATAAGTAATATTAATATGATGAGAATATTAGTAAAAATACTGTAAATATCTATGTATAATTAACATTAATATGTAACTAGTAGAAAAATCCGTGGCAATAAGGCAGTGTTAAAGCTGAATTTTAACAATCTCACATTACATTCTTATAACGCGAAAAAAGGTTGTACAATACCCTAAGTGTCGATTTCAGGTCTTGATTGACAATATCTGTAAATAAGACAACAAAATAATTTAACATAATACACTTTGAAGCATTTATTAATCAGCAAATGTACCTTCAGGTCTTGCTTTTGGTTTTGCAATACCAACTTCTTCCATCAATTCAAAAGCAAAGGCAACATTGTGAACTTTCTGGTCAAAATCTTTTGGTGTTAAGTGGAAACAGTACAAAGGTACAAAAAATCCTTCCAACAAACCCATAAGCAAGGTCAAATATACACCATCATGAAATTGGGTCTCCAATTCAGTTACTTCCAAGTTAATTTTATTTAACTGCTTATTTACAAATGTTACCAAAGACTAAAAAGATTTGTTGGTTAGTGAATGAATACATATATTTCAAATATTTTTTTGCTACCTTCTTAACAACCTGTAATTTGTCTGGAGCATGATCAAATAATGTGTCAAAAGCATCCCTTTCACACCTCATACCTACATCATCATAAGAATATGTTATTTTCTCTTGAATAATGCGATGATTGAGCTGTCCTCCTGATTTCTGAACAACAACTACAGGTACAAGCACATTTTCTGGCAAACGAACAGGAGCTCTAAAATGTCTTGCCAAAGCAACAAGAAGGTGAAGTATTGCTATTAGATTTTTTGAATGAATTGACTCAACACTCCACTTGCTTGATTCACTCCTGCCCAACACCTGCAATTAATCCAATCTAACAATAAAAATAGAACACTTTTGTTTTGGCACAAATTTAACAATGCAAATAAAAACAACAGCTGTTTGTAACATTCAGTTGCTTTGTTACCTGATTAAAATGAGCCAAAACTACTGCTAATTTTTGACGTTGTCCTTCTTCAGATTGTGTAACTTCAGGAACATCTAATTTGGCACCGGCTAATTTCTCAAGAAGTTTTTGCAAAACCTGGCCATCATACAAGTCCTCTGACAAATCTTGGACAATTATCCTTTGAGAAGCTAGCTCGTCATTGATCCACTCAATAAGAACATGGAGAAGTTCCTGAAACTTGGAGTCTTCAAAAGCTTGCCTTTGTATCATACTTCTTTCTTCATTCTCCTCTGAAAAAAGACTAGTCTACACAGGCAAAAACTACTTTTTTAGTACATACCCAGCTCATATTCTTCTGGAGGTATAACAGGAGCAACTGGACTTCCTGGTGAGTCAATAGCATATTTTCCTTCAGCTTGAACTTCTTGTACTGAAATCAATTATATAAAATAATGCAAATATTTTACTGCAAAATAAGCCACACCTATTGCAACTTCAGAACCATAAATGGTATACAGACTTTTGAAACATAATTTGGTAACGTAAATGTGGTAATACCTTCTTTTATTCTTTTCTTTCGCCCAAGTGTCCCTATTTTGTCCCAAAAGGATTCTTCCTTATCTGTTTTCGAAATTGGTCCAGGAGGACGAGGAGACACTGATCGAGGAGAAGCCATTTTTATTTCGATATTGTTTTGACATAAATGTCTAAATGATGGTGTTTATTGTCTATACTGCTGGGTGTTCGACAACGGTTTAAAAATTAAAAGGTTTATCAGCTTATTAACAAATTAGGTATAATTTAAATAAATATGATGGCCGACAATTAAAAAAGCATGATGGCCGACATAACAACAATACTATAACAATTATAAAACCATGATGGCCGACACTGCAACAATACGTCAACAATGTAAAAAAGCATAATGGCCGATGGCAGCAACAATTGGAAAAGTATAATGGCCGACAATAGTAACAATACGGTAACAATGAAAAAAATTAATGGCCGACCAATTACAATAAGGTTAAATAATTGGGTAAGAGTTATATAATATTGGTTGAAAATAAAAATTGGTGCTGTACACCATTTCAAAAGCTTCTAATATTAGTATTGTGTTTCTTATATAACAAAAGTTTAAAACAAAATGACAACAGTTTTAATTGGTAGTGTCAGGTAGAGTAGTCTGAAAGTGTGGTTATGGTCTATGTTAAGCATAGTTAATTATGGGAAATCTCTAATTTTTAATTTTTTTGAAAAATATGTCGAGTACTTATTGAATTATTGAAAAATGATTTACACTATTTCGAAAACTATATTAGACGTTCATAAATATGCGTTCACAGGGGTTTTAGTAAAGCCCTTCAGGATATGGAAACTTCAGTACTCTGAAAGAGCTGTAGATGTGAATACAAAGGTTGCAAAAGATGTTATTCTGTACAAGTATGACAACCCAAAATTTTATAAATATTTAAACATCTTTGCAATATGCCAGTTTGGATTTTGGAATTACTTGTCTGTTTTTGCACTTCAAACTTTAAGAGATGCACCAGTTTCTCCTTCAGAAAATGCAGCTTGGTGGGAAAAAATTAATTTAGGAGAAAATAAATATAGAAATACTTTAAGTGTCCTTGCATTTACAATTGGTATAAATATGATAATAGAAATGTTTATCGTAAGCTGTTATCACACTTTTTTAGGCTGGGGCATTTTAACTGTTTCTTGGATGTTTACGTTAAGGACTGTAAGGTACTTAGTTTTACATAAAGGCGGAGAAAAGGCCACTATCGTTACTTATGGCCCGTTTGGAAAAAATAGAATGTTTACTTTAGACCTTAATAATATTAATTGTAAGGGAAGTCGTCAAACTACAAGTTCAACACTGCCTTTAAAAGTTAAAGGACATTATTTGCATTATATGGTAGATTCAAGAGGGGAATTCCGTAATCCATCCCTATTTGATCACACAGTTGGCTTAAAAAGATGGTAGTATATCATTCAAATTAATAAGTTAATTTTCTTTTTTTATTAAAATCTTATTTTTTTATTTCTAATGGTTTTTCCTTTCATATTTAGAATACTGTTTTTTTTTTTAAATAAACGGTCTGATATTTTCAAACTGTACTTTCTAATTAATGTAAAATTTAATATTATTTCATTCTACTTAATACATGCCTACTTAGTTTTGGTTTGACACTAACAGTCTTTTGATTTACATAATTGATTTTATGTCTCGTTTTTGCTTTTCTCTTTTCAATAGTTTAAAATTCAATTATTCTTTTTCTTTCTATNATTGGTACACTTATACAAAATAGTAAATAAATTATTATTAAATATACTTATCAGAAAAAAAAAAGTTTCAAAAATTAATTTTCGTATGTTACAAAACTTTGAAAAAATAGTGTGTCTAAAAAGTTAAGTTTTTGTAGTCGCAGTAAATCATTTAAATATGGCAGAATAAACGTAACTTGCAGGAAAAATAAAAGCTCTGTTTAACCCAGTACAAATTCATCATGTCTGGCGCCCCTTTTTAAATTCTTATGTATTTGTTTCTTTTGTCAACAGATGTCTCATTTTATGTGGTTATGGATTTTTAGGATTTCAATGGGAATTGAAATGTGACATTGAATCAATTGACAGATGAAAAAATTATTGACATGTTTTATACAAGAGAAAAACAATAAGATATGTCAGGGATGTCTCCATCTGAGGTAAATTAATTCACAAATGTGCCTTTCTGTTGAATAATCTCTACTAATAATTCAGAAATTTACGAGACATATTAAATAAATTGTAATTGTAACCTTGTATTTTTGCAAGTTGTTTTATAATTAAAAGTGTTTTAAGTGTGATTGTTTGTTGCAGAGGAGACTTCAGAAAGAACTAATGTCTTTATTAAAAGAACCACCACCAGGGGTAACAGTTGATGCAGAGCTGGCAGAAAAAAATTTGCTTCAGTAAGTAATTGTTTATTGTGTCTTTTGTTGACTGACTTCCATATGCTCTCATAAATATTTATAAACGTTTGAATTATCATTAGCACTTGGTTATTGTAGCAATATGTATATTGTTACTAAAATGTGCCCCCTTTTTTCCTTATCAGATGGATTATTTACATGGAAGGGGTACAAGGAACCCTATATGAGGGAGAAAAATTTCAGTTGCAGTTTAAATTTAGTAATAAGTACCCTTTTGATTCACCAGAGGTAAGAGTATATATTTTCTTTTTTTTTTATTAAAATCTTATTTTTTTATTTCTAATGGTTTTTCCTTTCATATTTAGAATACTGTTTTTTTTTTTAAATAAACGGTCTGATATTTTCAAACTGTACTTTCTAATTAATGTAAAATTTAATATTATTTCATTCTACTTAATACATGCCTACTTAGTTTTGGTTTGACACTAACAGTCTTTTGATTTACATAATTGATTTTATGTCTCGTTTTTGCTTTTCTCTTTTCAATAGTTTAAAATTCAATTATTCTTTTTCTTTCTATCTAATTCGATTTTGTTGTTATTTATTCTAAAATTTATTTAGCTTTGTTCTATATTTACTTTCTTAGCAAAAGTATATATTTGTGTCTTTATATTTTAGAATAAAAGGAAACAAAGAAAATAATATATTTTTCCAGAAATAATTAGTACTAAAGTTTTTTGCTTTTTTAATTGTTTACTTAGTAATAAAAATTGATAAGATAGTTTGCAGCCTATTGCTTATTTAATGCACCCCATTAATTTAATGGGAAATACAAATTTCATTAAAAATATGTGTACCAAGTTTTAGATACCGCAGACTTTTACTAATTTAATGAGATATTACAACGTCAAGGACGTTTTTTTTTTCTCTCTAATTTAATCGATCGACCCAGTACTTATTTAGTTACGGTTTGTATCTGTATAATAAATTCCTACGTAGGTGACAATGATAATGAACGCAATTTTTATCAATGTCATTTATTTCGTTTTAAATGCAATTAAGTTCATTTGGGTTGCCTTTTTTATACGATTTTCTTTTTCATTTTATTTTTATTGCTATGCTTTTACAAAATGTAACAAGATAATTCATGTACAAGGTATCGGACGATATTTATTTTAACGAATCGTTTTTTCTTCCTCTTATGTACATTTAATGAGTAATTTTGATGTGGTGTTTATGTTTCTCGTTCATCACATGTTTTTATTTATTCACATTCAAATGTGTCGATTATACTTTACTTATCTAATCAGTAATCACAGAATCTATTGTGTTATATGTGGGTATTCTAAAATTGTTTTTAAAGATACTGATAACTGTACTAATGTGGTGCCTTTGCTATGATCCCTTAACTATATAAATATGTAATTATTTTGCTGTTTCCTATATAGAATTGCACCCTAGAAGGTGTTTAAAAATTGATTTAGTAAATTAATTATGAAATTTTAGGTGACATTCGTCGGTAATCACATTCCAATTCATCCCCATGTATATAGTAATGGACACATCTGTCTTTCGATACTGACAGACGATTGGTCACCCGCTTTATCAGTACAATCTGTCTGTCTGTCTATCGTTTCAATGCTTAGCAGTTGTAAAGAAAAGGTAATAGAGACTAGAAAACTTTTGCTGGGACATTGAGACGTCAAATTTAACCCCGGGTTTCTGTTTTTTTTTTTTTTTTTT